GGAGGGCATGGTGGGTGAGAGAGAGCCAGAGAGAGCGACAGAGAAGAGAGTGTGTGTATGCCATGTAACTACCTGCTTCTACTTACTGTGTTCTTGCACTAAGGCAGCGCAACAGCACATTAAGCTAACAGACACATCGAGAGAGAGATCAAGAGACGGTGTAGCAGACAGACAAGAGAGAGGACTGATGCGCGAGACAGAGAGAGAGAGAGAGAGAGCGCCGGGGAATGACAAGAGCGTTCTGTAGTCCATATAATGATATATCATGTCTCATTCATTCAGTCATTCATGGGTCGCTGGAGCTCGCTCGTCCAGCCGCACAGACAGCCAGTACTTCCTGTGGATGAGTGTTATTTTGAATGGACGTGGGGCTCCCTGCCTGGCTGGCTGGCTGGCTGGATGGATGGATGGCTGCTTGCCCTAGCTACTGACTGAGCTTCTTCCCTTCCTCCCTCCCTCCCTCCCTCCCTACACAAACCTAGTAACCACAAATTGACTCAAGAGGCCCACCACACGTGTGTGTGACGGACGACTGGCTGTCTCGTCTCTCTGATATGGATTGTTTCTTTCAAGGGCAGGCAGCGACAAGACCACACAGCACACCAATGAATGCATTGTGGTGCTGTGTTCGTTTCCACGTACGTTTGTGCATGTATTTTTCGTCCCACAAGGGCGCACGCGCATCATGCCTGCACCGGACAGCACAGCACCCCAGTCACCAGACCTGACGAATGTGTGTGTGGTGTGATGGATGGGTTTGGTCGTCCGTTGTGTGCATGTGTGGGCGTCCATCCGTGATACACACCCATCCATCCATCCATCCCCCGCCATGGCATCCACCCATGTGCCAGCTGTACATATCATACGCACTGCAGACACACACCGACACACAAGGCCAGACAGCACGTGCGCCTCGTTTTTCTCCCTCGCCGCTCGTCTGTGTGTGTGTGTGTGTGTCTGAGTCTGAGTCTGAGTCTGATGATGGATGGATATTGTCGCAGCCAGCTCCCTGCCTGTTTCAATTTTGGCTGAGGTGGCGGAGGAGCAGCTGGCTGCACGCGTGACTGCGTCGCACCCACATGACAGACACCAGTGGACCTTGCGAAATGCTTACATGATTCGTGTAAAACACGCCTGCCCGCGAAGCATGTCCACCGTGGCTCGATGGATGAGGTGAGTGGCGAGAACGACTTCTTTGCCACCCACCTCATCCCGATTCGTTCGAGCTTCAAGGAAAGGCACGTAGCTGCAGATCCGCCATCGGTGAAGTCAATGCCTTCATCCTTGAGCACCGCCACGACTAGAGGGCACACGGCTCCGTCTCTCCCTCCTCAATACTGTTTGTCTTCTTTTGATGTATGCTGATGGTATGAACGAAAATGGAAGAACCACGGTCGCTGGCTGTGGGAACGAGAGGGGAGACACGTCCGTCAATTGAGCACGAACATCGATATATATATCACTCTATGTTGGGTCGGAGTGAGTGACAGAGTAAAACGGTGAAAGACAATTAATGCATCAGTCTCGCAGACGTCATGCGAAGAAGCCATCAGGAAAAGCACAACAAACAGGAGGAGGAGACACAGCTCTTATGTCTGAGACACACAAGCATATGAGCTAGGGCCTACTGCGTGTTCAACATCCACATAGCTATAACCATCGCAACGTATAGACTCCATAGCAAGGATGAGGACAGATACCATGTCCTATGTGACCTATAGGCGCCTGATTCGCCTTCTAGCTTCCTCTCTGCGTACTTCTCCATCTGTGAGCGCATCTCATCCGCCGACTTGCACTCACCTGCAGCAGACACACGCACACACAAGCCAGGCGCCCATCCAGGCATCCAGGCACTTTCTTTCTTTGAGCAGCTCACCAGATGAGTCATACGTGCTCATGACGTCTCCTGTGCAGACAGACAGACAGACAGAGAGTTGTCTCTCCCTCTCTTCTCCGTCCGCGGGTACGTGTGCTCGGGTAGGGTACCTACCTTCCCTTATTTGCGTGACGAGGTCGCTCTCCCTCTTGGTATACAGCCGGTCGTAGCGCAGCTTGTTGTCCTCCGTGTAGAGTCGGACGTCATACACAGACATGCACTTCTTCTCACTGCACACACACATCCATGCCATGCCATGCACGTGAGCCGCGCCCATAAAGGGAGTGGGCTGGGCCTCTCTTGCTGGCCTACGTATTGTCAGCTGAGCAGATGGGTGGGATGAATTCGGGACATGACGATTTATCGCACTGAGTGATGTCTGCATGCCATGCCATCCCGTTCACAGGCATGACATGACCTTATCCGTATGTCTCTCTCTCCTTTGTGTGTTGCCATGAGTCGTCGAGTACCGACCGTACCTGTCGGTTTGCCTTTCTGCCAGTCCTTGTTGCCGCACGGACACCTGCAAACATCCACCAGCCGCAAACCGTGTGATTGATGTCCCTGGCACATGGAAACGCATCACATGCAGGCACACCCGCGTTTTTTGAGGTCTTCCACACGGCCTGTCGAGTGGGGAGTCAGCTGCATGCCATGCCATGGACGCGAGAGAGAGAGAGAGAGAGACAGACAGACAGAAGTCAGAAAGGAAAAACCCACCCATCGGGCTGTGCTGTGCTGTGCTGTGCGTGTGTATCCTGCCAACTCACTTGGATTTTGTTGTAGGTATATTGTGTGGTGAGAATGTATGTGTTTGTCCAGGGGTCGATCCTCGTCGACTGCACCGTATACGCGGCCTCCAGCAACAACGCTGCGCACACACACACAGACACACACACAGAGAGAGAGACAGAGGGGCATACGAAGAGCAATTTGTGGATGCATGTGTGTGTGGATGCGCTTAGAATACCATAGTCCAATGTCTCCTCCTCTCTGGAACACTTGAGCTGCCTGCATGGCATGGATTCGCATACAGACATCCCCCACCCACACGTGCTTTCTTTCATATGGGTGTTGTGGGGGATGAAGGGGGTACGTGCCTGTTGCTCTTGTGATGGTCGTCCATTTCCAGGTACACGTTGTCACGCGAGTACATTGACAGAGACTCCCTGCACACACACACATGGGTAGGTAGGTAGGTACAGACGCTCCCGTGCACTGCACCACACAAACCTGAACATGTGTGGTCCGTGCTCCTCCCTCTCCATCGACGAGCACTCCAGCGACCACTCACCACACAGACGGTCAACTGACCGACAGACAGGCAGACAAACAGACACACAGAGGGCATGTTCGTTCAATGCATACAAACTGAGGGACACATACCAGTGGTGACTGGCGTGATGACCCGTTTCCCGGCTCCGTCAGCAGCTGGTGGTCGTGGCTGTTGTGGCTGCTGCCGACACGGACATAACTGACACCCTACACGGACGCAGAAACAGAGAGACACCGACGTGTGTGTATGTCTTGGGCATAGGCACACCAGCAACCCACCACTGAGTCACTGACCTGCCGGCAGAGTCTGCCCCATCAGCGGCCCCTGCAGCCCCAGACCGACTCCAGACGTCGTCGACTGCTGCTGCGGCTGCTGTGGGGGCAGTGGTTGTGGCTGTGGCTGCTGCTGCGGCTGGAAGGGCTGCATTGGCTGCATTGGCTGGCCCCCCGCTGCTGCAGTGGGCGGCCCAACCTGCTGCTGTGGCTGCATTGGGGCAACAGCCACCGGCTGACTCACCTGCTGCAGTGGTGGCTGTAGTACGGGCGGGGGCAGGCCGGCTCCTTGCTGCTGAGGTACATTACCACTCCATTGCTGTGGTGGCGGCACCTGGGGGGGCAGCTGGCGAGCGGCCACAATTGCAGGTGGCTGAGGTGCGCTCACACTGACAGGCGACTGCTGGGGCGGCTGCTGCTGCTGACCCCCGTTGCCGACAGAGACAGACACTTGCTGCTGCTGCTGCGGCAATGGTGGGGCCTGTGGCGGCTGTTGTGGTGGAGGAGGGACGTTTGGTGCACCAGCAGCGCCCGCAGCAGCGACAGCCTGGGGAGCGGATACATTAGGCTGCTCTTGCTGCTGTGGGCCGCTGGGCGGCTGCTGTGCCTGCTCTTGTTGCGGCGGCTGGTTTGTGTCCTGAGGAGGAGCTTCCTGTTGCTGTGGCTGCTGCTGCTGCTGCTGCTCACTGCTGGTGGTCTCTTGTGGGCTCTGTTGGGTGTCTTGTGCTGGTGGCTGGGCGGCTTGTGTGTCCTGGGCAGAGAGACAGACAGACAGACAGACAGACAGAGAGACAGACAGACAGAATGAGACAAACACACAACAGAGCCCTCGGTGCGAATGCGTCTATCTGTTGAGGCTAGTTCGCCGCGCGTACGTCAGTCTGGCCGCCGTCTCCGTCTCCCTCTGAAGCCTCCCTGACCACCATAGTAGAGGTGTCACGCTGGTGCAGCGACGGACGCCCAGCGGACTTTACATTGGCACCCGGCATCATCATCTCGGCTGCAAAAGTGTGTGTATCATGCTCATGCCGCACACACACATGGGTCTGGTCTCTCCGCTTAGCTGGCTTACGTGTGATGTATTGTGCCGGTGGGAGTGGCATGGGAGGTGGCGGGAGGGGCACCATATAGGGGCCATAGGCGTACATGGCCGCTGCTGCCGCGGCCGCGGCTGGCGTCATTGGCGGGGGTGGGGGATACACATACATCGACAGAGGGTAGTCCTTGCCTGGGTCGGTCGAAACACACACACAGACAGTGAATGAGTGAGAGTGTGTTCCCTTCTCTCTCTGCAACAGTGGCCGGCCAACCGACCTCTCTCTCTGTTCTTGATTGAGAGAAATGACAGCGGGGAATCATGCAGAAGCTGCTGACGCCCGTCAGACTCTCTCGTCCCGTTCGCGCAGCTGCGGGCCCCGCCTTTGCTCCTGCCTTCCCTGCACACACACACACAGACACACACACACACACACACAAGGCAGGCACGCAGGCAGGCGCCACGCGTGTTCGTGCAGCTGCATTATTGCATTACCTGTGAGCCGTCTCTGCGATTGTCCCACCCATCATGACGACGACGACAACGCACCCGAGTCTCAGCAGCCGAAACAACGATGCCATGGTTCGCCCTGCAGTGCTCGTGCCACATTCATCTCATCCCTAGGGAGGGATGGGCTTGCAAGGGCTCTCGACGATCGCCGCCTCCCTCCACCATTTGCGAGCTTGACAGAGCTCTTCCTTCTCTTTAGCTGTTCTGACATAGACAGAGAGCACAGACAGTGCTCATCAAGACGGCTTTGCTGTGTCGTTCTTGCTCGGTTCTCTCTGCAGCAGTCACTGACAGCCTTGCCTTGTGTGTGTGATGCGCCTGCGCTCGTTTTGCTGGCCGTGGCTGTTGGTGTGTGGGTGCAGTGCTGTCTATGGAAAGCTGAGAACGACACGCTCGGCGCACACGGTATGTCAGCACACACACACACACACACGCATATCTCAGGGTGGCGCATTCTTCGTGTGTGTGTTTGTGTGTGGTTTGTGTGTTCTGCAGAATGAGACTGGCGCATTAGTCCGTTTGCTGCAAGGTGGCAATGGCGATGGTGATAGCGATGGCGGCAGCGTGCTGGAGGAGATCGAGAGTATGCCGACACACATGAATACGAGAGAGAAAGAGAGAGTGTCCATCATCATATCTGTGGCGCTCTGTGGTGACACCACAGGCAGCCCCTACCTGTGGCCGGAGAAGATACACAGCCTCCACACAGCAGAGGACGTACACACACTCACACACACACACACACAACAGGACACACAGAGCTGAGGTATGTGTGTGTGTCGATATATACGACATGGTAGGTCGTGTCCGCCACTCGCGAGCTGCTGCTGTCCATATTCAGAGAGTGGTTCGGCGAGAAGAGGGTCAGTGCACTCACTGCACTCACTGCATACGGCCGTTCGTCTGGGGCGTGTGTGCACGTGTGTGTGTGTGTGTGCTGCAGGTGACGCACATCATAATGGTGGGCGCTGTGGGCGGCGGCGAAGGTGGGAACATGCAGCACATGAGTCCATCCACAAGCACGTGTTTCTGTGTCTGTGTGCCTTCATTTCCTTCCACAGGCGAGAATAAGGGCGACATGGCCATCAACTGGGCGCAGGACATCCTCTTCAAAGAACTCGGTACACACGCAAACGCACACCCACGGCGGCAACACAAAGCGACAAGAACGACACATTGATGTGTGTGACGCGTGTGAGTGTGTGTGTGTGTGTGTAGGCATCAGTGTGTGGCGGTATTGCCAGCTGCAGAGCGGGTGCGACTTCAAACAGATGAAGAGGGAATGGGCCAAGGAGAAAGACAAACATGAAAGTACCCTCACACGCATTCACACGCACAGAGAGAGAGAGAGAGAGAGATCTGCCACACACACATACACATACACTGTGTGTTGACGCAGATGCCCAGCTGTGTGTGGTGTCTTTGGCTGGCGGCAACTTCAACGACAAGTGGGGAAGGGTGATGCAGGTGCGCTGTGCGGCCAGCCATACTCATCTGCACAGAGGGGGCATTCTCTCTCTCTCTCTCTGTGTGTGTGTGTGTGTGTGTGCAGAAACTGCGAATCGACATGGCCAAGAACTTCCAAGACGTTCCCATGATGATCCTCCCACAGGTAGCTCTCACGGGCATGCGCCTGAATGAGATGCACTTCTTTCTCTCTCTGTCTCTCTCTCTGCGCGACTGACTGCACACACAGAGCACCAAGTACGCCGACGCGTCCATCGAGAAGAAGCATGCCCAGGGCATGAAGCACCCTGACAGCGGTGCGGCCAACACACACATAAGCGACCACACACACAGTGGTGTGCTGTGTGGCCCTACAGCCTTCTGTGCGCGCGACAAGGCCTCATATGAGTGGACCATCAAATCGCAGTTCAAGAGCACCTTCACACGTACGCCGGATGCCTCAACCCACAAACACACACACACACACACAGAGCCATTCATTCTCACGTGTGTGTCTGGTTGCCCAATGAACGAACGACTGACTGCAGGGATATTCCACACGCCCGACATCGCCTTCATGCTGGGCACACTGCCGAAGCCGGCCGTGGAGCAGCAGAGAGACGTGCTGTGGCTGGAGGTAAGTCTGTCTGTGTCTGTGTCCCCATCCCGCCACCTCTCTCTCCGTCTCTCTCTCTGTGTGTGTGGGGGGGGTGGGTGGATAGCGCACTGACGGCGAGAAGGCCGCTTACGAGCTGCCCACTTTCCCTGAGGGCGTCTCTCAGTGACCAAACCATCCACACACACAACACACGCACAATCAAATGAATGCGCGCTCTCTCTCTCTCTCTCTCTGTGTGTGTGTGTGTTAGTTATGTTGAGGATTGGTTCACGTGGAAGGTCATGGACATCCCAGCCTGGGAAACATGGGATCAGTTCGTCGACCTCCTGGCCAAGCCGCGCACCCTCAATGGACTGGAGTACGCACTCAAATAAGCGGCACACACACACGCATCTATGGATCTGTGTGTTCGTTCCTTCGTGTGTGTGTGTGCAGGTTCCTTGCGCGCGGCCGAGTGGTGGTGACAGACAGGCTGCACGGGCACATTCTGTGCACTCTGATGGTGCGTCCGTTGCCCATTGCCCATCCGGACACTCATGCAGTGTGCCCAGGCGTCCATCGACGATATCCTCTCTCTCTCTCTCTCTCTCTGTGTGTGTGTGTGTGTGTCCAGGGCCACCCCCATGTGGTGCTCGACAACGTGTACAGGAAGCTGGGCAACTATCTCGACACATGGACTGGGGGTGAGCAAGCCAAGCAACCCAGCCACCCTCCCACGAACGAAGGAGCTACACGAGATCACACCATTGTGTGTGTGTGTGTGTGTGTATGTGTGTGTAGGTGTGAGCAACATCATGTACACGACCGACGCGCAGATGGCCATGAGGCTCGCCATGTTTTTGCTCTCACGGTGTGTGCGTGTGTGTCACCCTCTGTGCCCATCCATCCATCCGCGTGCGCGTGTGTGTGTGTGTGTGTGTGCGAAGCTACAAGGATGAGTCCCATTTCGACAAGAACTCGTGCTTCATGCGCGACGCCGGTGTGTGTGATCGGCATGGCATCCACACACACACGCTTGCCGATCGTTCCTTCGTGTGAATCTCCTTCTCTCCTTCTGCCTCTGTGTGTGTGTGCGTGTCATTCTGCAGGCCTCACACCGTCTCTCTGCTGCGTGCCGGAAGGTATCTATCGTGCCACACACACACACACACACAAATCACATGATGCACGCCACACGTGTGTGTGACTTGTATGTGTGTGTGGGTGGGTGTGTCCACTGTAGGCGACAATTCCTCGACAGAGGGCGACGCCAAATACCTGAGCGGCAAGTGCTGGGTGAGTGAGTGAGCCAGCCAGGCAGCCGTGCAGTGTCTGTGTGTCTGTGTCTGTGTCTGTCCATCGCTCCATGGACTGGACGTGTGTGTCTTGTCTGCAGGGCGGCAAGTACACCTACAAGTCGTGCTGTGGCGGCGAGGGCGGGGAGAGCCCCGTCGAACAACAAGTAGCACTTACTGCCTGTGCTGTGATGATGATGCGATTCCCTCTGTGCTGTGTGCGATGGCATCGATCGCATTCTGTGTGGTGTGCAGGAGCTGGCGTCACTGGCCGACCGAATGCGCGAGAAGGAAGCAGACGAGGACGGACCTGCTATAGGTACACACCGCACACACCTGGCCTGGAGGGAGGGAGGGAGGGAGGGATGGGCACACACGCGATGCGATGCCATGTGTGTGTCCGTGTGGCCCATACATCCATCCAGTGTCTGACCCCGACGCCATGCTCAAGGAGGCCCGCGATCAGCAGCAGGGCGGCACCACCAGCGGCAGCAGCAGCAGCAAAGAGGGCAACTCGCAACAGGCCGACGGAGATGAAGTGGCCGAGGAAACAGGTATACGTGTGGTTGTCCACACACACACGCCCGGGGCATGTTTGTTTGTCTGTGTGTGTGTGTGTGTGTGCGTCGAGCAGAGGAAGACCAGCAGCAGCAAGGGCAACAAGAGAAGCAGCAAGAGGCCCCCCCAGCACCACAACCAGCAGCACCACAACCAGCAGCAGCAGCAGCAGCCGACATCATCAGCACGGTAAACCCACACACACACCCCTCCGCTCATACACACACACTGTAGTTGCTCCCTACCTGCAGCTGGCCAGCGACCCTTCCCACTTCCCCAACGCCATTAGGAAGATAACCGACGCGCAGGAGCTGGTGCCCTCTCTCCGTCTGGTGCTCCTCACCGCTATGAAGCAAGCCTTCGTTGACGAGTAATCACTCTTAAACACACACTCTTCAACACACACCCGCACAGAGAGAGAGAGAGGGGGGGGGGAGAGGGAGAGTCTGTGTGTATGTGTGTCTGTGCAGTGACGGCCAGCCGATAAGGCGCGGCATAATGGTGGGCGCTGAGGGCGGCGGCGAAGGTGGGAACAGCACATGAGTCCATCCATCCACAAGCACGTGTTTCTGTGTCTGTGTGTGTTCATTATTTTCCTTCCACAGGCGAGAATAAGGGCGACATGGCCATCAACTGGGCGCAGGACATCCTCTTCAAAGAACTCGGCATCGACATCATCTGGTGCGGCTTGGGCGTGGCGTGGCGTCCGCCCACAAATTGTCCACCCACACTGGTTGGTGTCTGTGTGCGCGTGTGTGTGCAGGTATTGCCAGCTGCAGTACAACTGTGACTTTGGCAAGGCGCTGGAAACCATCGAGAGAAGCGCAGACGACAAGTCGCCTGTGGCCGTCATGTCCATCGCCGGCGGCAACTTCAACGACTTCTCGCCCATGCAGGCAAGCCCACCACACGCCCCTCCCGACACACCTGACAGACATGCACTGTGGACGACGGCTGATGTCGATGTGTGTGCAGGAGTTGCGCGTCAACATGAGCAAGGCATTCCCCGACCAGCCCGTCTTCATGCTGCCGCAAAGCGTGCGCTCCCTGACACACAATCATGGCATGGACCTTTTGTTACCCATATATGTGTGTGTGTGCGTGTGCGCGCGTGTGTGTGTGTGTGTGTGTAGGTGGTTTACAACGACGCTAAGCTGCTCAAGCGGCATGCAGACGGCATGGCGCACGACAGAAGCACCATGTTCGCGAGAGATGTGAGGGCATGCCACACACACACACACATTCCTCTGTGTCTGTGTCTGAGTGTGTGTGGATCCTCTGTGTGTGTGGCTGGCTCGGCTTGTTGTGTGTCGGGTATGGGTGGGTGCAGCTGCCCTCCTACACGAAGCTGCAGAGCGGTCCATTCAAGGACGCATTCAAACGCATTTACCTGGTTAGTGCAGTGCCTGTCTGTTCTGTGTCCACACGCACAGGTCTCTCTCCCTCCCTCTCTCTGTGCGCGCGTGTGTGTGTGTGCAGGTGCCGGACATCGCGTACATGCTCGGCATGCGGCAAGATCTCGAGGCAAGAGCACAGCCACACACACACACACACACATGAAATGGAGGCTTCCTGTGTGGTGTGGTGTGGTGTGGTGTGCACTCACTGCACAGCTGGATCCGCCTGTACACGATCTGCTGTGGCTCAAGAGAGTGGACAACGAGAGGCAACGGTACCTAGAGACTTACTGATTGCGATAGATAGAGTAATTAGATGCTCGCTCGTGGACGTGACGTGCAAATGTGGCTGTGCACTGCACTTCGTAGGTATAAGCCGCCCGTCTTCTCAGAAGGCGTCGACTTCGTTGTCGAAGACTGGTCAGCCAGCATCTCCATCCATCCATCCAGCCATGTCTGTGTCCATGTCTGTGTCTGTGTGTTGGCAGGTTTCCTTACATGAAGACATCGGCCAAGTGGACGGACTGGTCGTCTTTCGTCGAGAACCTCGCGGAACCCAGGACCATCAACGGCTTCAAGTGGGTGTCTGTCTCTTCCGCCCACCCACTCTTCCACACACACACACACACGCATCAGCTCTCCCTCTCTCTCCCTCTCTCTCTCTCTCTCTGTGTGTGTGTGTGTGTGCAGGTTCCTCTCTCGGGCGCACGTCGTGGTGACGGACAGGCTGCACGGGCACATTCTCATGACGCTCCTGGTGCGCACATGTCGCATCGACACACACACACACACGCACACACACACCTCTCTCTACGTGTCTCTCCCTCTCTCTGTGTGTGTAGGACAAGCCGCATGTGGTGCTGGACAACAAGTACAGGAAGCTGGGCAACTACTTGGACACTTGGACTGGGGGTAAGAGATTGATACACCACACACAACGGAGACGCATGGCTGTGCATGATCTCTCTCTCTGTCTCTCTCTCTCTCTCTGTGTGTGTGTGCAGGGTTGTCGAATGTGCTGTATACGGACAGCCCCGACACAGCCATACACATGGGCGAGTTCATGCTCACCAGGTGCTCACGGTGCTTTCATGTGTGTGGTGTGTGTGGGCCGTGCTGCGTGCTGTGTCAGTCATGGTGTCTGTGCTCTCATAATGCGCATCTCTGTCTCTCTCTGTGCGGTGTGCGTGTTCTGTGTGTGTGTGAAGGTATCGGCCAGACGCGGAGTTCTCGCAAGAGCTCTGCTTCAATGACAACGGTGAGCGACACACACAGACAAACACACACGCACACACTGCATCTCTTTCTGTCTCTCTGTGTGTGTTTTGCCTGTGCAGCCAACCTGAGTGAGGCCTTCTGCTGCAACACCGAGCAGCAGCAGCAAGCCGACGACACCCCAGCCCTCATAAACCCTCAGAAATGCTTCGTAACCCAACCACACAACCACACACGCGCCCCTCAACACAGTGTCTGTGTGCTTCTTGTCTGCACACGCAGGGCGGGCCCTACACACGAGAGAAGTGCTGTCCTGACGGGAAGCCGATGGCGGCAGCGGCGCCCTTGACATACAGCATGGTGCGGGCCATGGTGGAGGGCACCAGCAGTGCACAAGAACCACAACCACAACCACAACCACAATCGCAATCGCAGAAGCAAGACCAAGACACAGCAGCAGCAGCAGCAGAAGGGCAACAACAGCAGCAGACAGCGAGGTCAGAGGAGGTTGCTCCCCCTGCCGTGCCGATGGCGTCGCAAGCAGAGCTGAATGCACTGGGCAGCCGGATGGACACCATCACTGCAAAGGTAAGGACACTACCTCCACCCACCCCACACACCACACCCACAGGCATCATCTATGTCGCTATGTGTGTGTGTGAAGGTGACCGACGTCGATAAGAAGGAGGGCGACGTCGAGGGCCGAGTCGACAGGCTGGAGAAGTCCTTAGCCGAGCTGGCGGGCACCGTCAAGACGGAAAAGGGCAAAAGAGAAACCGTCGAGTGAGTGAGTCTCTCTGTCATTCATTCAGCTCGCACCCATCCCCTACCCACCCCATCCCCACAAACCTGTCTGTGTGTCTGTGTGTCTGTCTGTGTCCATGCCATGTATGTGTCTGCAGGTCGTCTGTGTCTGCGCTCACAGCCGACCTGCAGAAGGTCACGGGCAAAGTCGATGGTCGGTATACACACACACACACACACAAAGCGCTGTCGACGCAGATTGGTCACACACGTGTATTGTGTTGTGTTGTGTTGTGTGTTGCGCTTGCAGGTTTGGACAAGAAGCGCCAGACAGACGCAGACAGCGTCAAGGGCGAGGTATAGTATAGAAGGAGACAGACAGACAGACTGACTTACACCCACCCAGTCAGCCAGCTATCCGTCTGTCTGAGAATCTTGGTGTGTTGTGTGACATCACACATGGGTGGGGTGCAGATCAAGGGCATCAAGCAGCAGATGGAAACTGAGCGCATCGAAAGGTACGGACGGACCTCTGTTGCTGTTGGTGCTGGTTGGACCCCATTCTCTGTCTGTCTGTCTGTGTCAATCTGGATGACAGAGAGTCGTCTCTCTTCGCGAAAAACCAGTTCCCCTTCGTCGCAGCCCTCATCGCATGGATCCCTCTCGTACTCGGTGGGTGTCATGGCTGGATGGATGGATGGCTGGCTGGATGGATGGATGTGTTCATGTCATGGGTGTTTTGTCTTGTCTTGCAGGTCTGTTCTACTGCTGCTTCCGGCGGAACTCGCAGCACTACACCCTGCTGCCCACCACCAAGAACGGATGAATGAATGACCGACAGACAGACGGACGGAGGGAGGGAGGGAGGGTGTGAGAGTGGATGAGTGCCGTGCATGGCTCGACTGAGTCTGTCCGTGTCTGTGTCTTTCCCCCCTCTCTCTCTTTTTGCGTCTATGTGCAATTCGTGCATACCATCGCACAGTGGGCGCAATTCAGACATTCAGACAGACAGACAGACAGACAGATGGCGGCCTTGTATGTGCGCCGCATGTTTTTGGGTGTCTTGTGTATATGACGATATGGTGGTCTCTCTCTGCTTGCGTGTGTGTGTGTGTGAGTGCGTGTGTGTCCCTATCCATCCATCCATCCATCCATCCATTCAGGTGTGTTAATTCATTCATTCGTTCATCAGACAGGCAGGTAGCGTAGCGTAGACAGCCTCGGTTGATTGGTATGATTGCCCCGGCCTCTCTCTCTGTGCTGGGTGTGAGGATTCAGACCTTGGCCCATTCATTCATCGTGTCCAGTCCACTTCACGCACTACCGAGCATGGACAAGCTGGCATTGCCCGCCCAAAGCTGCCGCTTGCGACACACGGCTCCGCTCTTTGGCAAAGACAAAGGCTCCATTTCTACGCATTCGCATCCTCCGTAAGGGGAGAATAGATGCACACACAAATTGATCAATTGATTCATGTCCGTCTGGTTGTCATGATCACACCCACACACACAGCCTCATCGAATCAAGCCGACAATATTGTCAACAACACAAAATGGTTGATCGTCACCCTCTCTCGGCATCACCATAACCAACATACCACACCAACACAAAAACACCACCCACTCACTCCACTCGCCGACCGGTCGGTAAGTCAGTCGGACAGTCAGCCGGCCTTGAGAATGGCCTTGACCATGTGGCTCCTCACCGCCCCGCCGTCACTGTAGTGCCCCCCGCCCATCAGGTGTGTGTCAGGGGGCATCGACGGCATCGCGTTGGGGCTATGGACGGCGAAGTCCTTGATGTAGAGGGTCCAGAAGGTCTTGTAGAAGCGGTAGATCTGCACCTCCCCTGTTGCCTTGAGGTCGGGCAGCTGCCCCTCGCCCCGCTGCAGCTCGCGACGAACCGCCTGCGCGCACACACACACACTGCATCTCTCTCTCTCTCTCTCTCTGTGTGTGTGTGTGTGTGTGTGTGCTTTCTGTGCTGCGGCTGTGGGTGCATTCGCGTCGCCTACCTTGAGGGCTTCAGCGTGCACTCGTTGTGCAAGTTCCTTGGTGAGCAGTGACTCGCTGGTCATGGCCCGGAGGGTGTCCTTGAGGGCGGCTATCACCTTTGACTTGCCGTAGACGTCATCCATCGGTGTGGCCGTGAGTGCGATGGATGGACAATAGGCAAGGCAGCAGACACTCCACGCCACACCACGCGACGTGCGAGATCTCCTCCTGCAGCAAAACAAACATGCAGCAGGAAGCGATGCATTTGATGATGATGTGCTCACATCGTGTGGCTCTGCTTCACCTGCGTCTGTCTTTCCTCGGCGGCTTGCGATCTAAGCTCGCAGCTTTCGAGGTGCGTGAGACCGCTCTTTCAGGTGCGTGAGACCCCTCAGGAAGGCGCAGGCGGTCAACAGGTGCGTCAAAAGAGAAGTCTTTCACACATCTGTCAATTGCATGCACTGTCTTGCCCTTCCCTGCAGATGTCTGACTTATTCCGCTCACGCCGCCTCGTCTGACGGCCATTGCCAGCCACCCCGTCGGCAATGAGATCCTCGGCTTCACCATTAAGGCCATCGAGGAGAGCGGCACACTTCGACTCATCAACAGACGCGACTTCCACCGACAGCTCGTCGACCGCACCTTCTTCCAGCGTTGGATTGGTGAGCAGCACCCGGCGGCTCTCCGCGCATTCATCGTCTTCGAGGTGCGTCGCGAGGCCAATATCCTCTTCGTGGCGATGTGCCTGGTGAGGGATGGCGGCAGATGGGACGACTGGCCTGACTATCTGAGCGTGCTGTCGGCTGCCCGTGAGGTGACGCTGCCGATCCGCATCACCGATGCCGACGTGGAGCTGCTGCGGGCGTCTGTGCCCCGCCTGGTCCGGCGGCTCAAGACCAGGGACCGTGACGACCTGAAAAATCATCAGCACGAGTGGCTGCAGCCGCGCTTTGGCCCCAACGTGCGGCGCATCATCGTCCGTCAGGATGAGCAGCAGTAGGCGACGGCGCGACTGAGCGGCATCGGACGGCCGTCGCGTTTCGTGATTGATTGGGAGGGAACAGTGTTCCGGGTCTCCAACAACCACTATTGCCGCGATGTGCTGCTTCGCGACTTCGCCTGCCGTCAGTCCATCCGCATCGGACTCCGATTCTCATTCCGCAGCCCGCCATCGCCCCCGCCCAATGGTGTCTGTCTGAGTGTGCTGCAGTTCCTCGCCAACCAGGCCCGGCCCCTCACACCCACATACACAACTTACCTCGAGAGACCGCCAGCTGCAACCCAATACACACATACTGCCGCGACGATAACGGTGAAGGGGCCATATGTCTACGTCCTGCCTGAGGGCGACGATGGCCCTCCGTGCGTCGTGTCCCTGCTCAGAGAGTTCCAGCTCTCCCCGCCTACTGGTGCCACTCTCGACATGGTCATGACGAGCCTGATCAGCCCCCACCAATGGCAAGACAGCCCCGTCGACCATCGCCGCCATCTCGAGTCACACGACCTCGCCTTCGTCCCACCGACGTCGGTGCTGGCCAGTGCTGAGGCATTGCCTGATGGTGTGGAGCGCATCGCCTCGCCGGCTGGGGCTGGTACTGTGAGTGTGGCGCCCGTCTTGTCGTTCATCGGCGACCAGCTCAACACCAACGGCCGTCCGCTGGTGCACCAGGGCGTGACGGACCTGCTGACATTCGTCAGTCAGCTGGGAGGGTCCTTCCCTCAGGACGGCGTGACGGTGGAGAAGTGCTTCCTGATGTACAGACCGGAGGCCATTGAATGAGGGGGCGGGGCAGGGGAGGGGGGAAGGGAGGGGCCTTGACGGTCGGTTTAGTTGCCCATTCGTTTCCTTCTTTGGAATGATGACGCTTTCGTTGGAAATGGTTGACACATAAATGGATGGATATCTGTCAGCTCAAATGCGTATCCATCCCCTCCCCTTCACACATACGCACAAAAAGACAGAGAAGCACTGACAGCAAAGGAGCCTTACAACGATCAAGAACGACACACACACATAAAGCGCATGGCATACAGACAGAAAGAAGACAGACAGACAGATCGACCTACGCACATTGCGTACTTCCTTACACACACGGATCCTTGTCCCTCCCCTTTGAGCCATTGATGTCGACTCAATCGAACCATTGAGGCACCGCACCCACAAAACCACTGACTACCTCGTATCTACATCAAATGTCAGCTCGACAGGAGGAAAGTGGCTGACAGACACGAACACCCCCGCACCACGCAACACTCAACAGAGGCACTTGAACAAACATGCGCCCATCCATCCATCCATTCATCCATCCATCTGCACATCACTCACTTCATGCTCCCGTCCTTCCCTCCCCC